ATATAAGGCAGCTCCCTCTTCTCAACAAACCAAGCTTTGAAAACCTCAGACCCTCTCTAGTCTGGTTTCAAAGAAATTACAAGCCACTAATACTTGTAATCCTACCCTTCACTTGTAAGCCTTCTTCATGATGCAAAAGAAGAGCTCTCTTATTTCCACTAGACCATTAGTTCTAGTGTTGTAAGTGTTTATTTTCTTTATTTGGATATTTTGTATATTTTCATATCTGTTCCATATTCTTCTTTATTCCTTATGAATTCCGCACTTGTCTTATATATATATATATAGTCACACATATATATTTAATATATTATTACGAAACTTGACCTAAATTGTAGTTATTTGACTTATTTTTCACGCGAAAAGTCTATATTTGAGGTTCATTTATTCATAAAAAAATTATTTATTATTTTTTTTAGAATAATATTTAATTATATAAAATCATAATTGATTACTTAATTAGCGTGTCAATGATTAATTTATATACGGGTCGTCACAATCTACCCCTCTTAAAAAAAAATTTGTCCTCGAAATTCGATTCTAATCTCAAGAATAAGTATGACTACAAATATCCGCTGTGCACTCTGATACCTTTTTTAACTATTTGTCATATAACCCAAAATTTTGATATGAATTCCATCTTATACATCCACCTAATGGGAATTGGTTAACTTACTCTGCACACTTCAAACTTCTATACCTACAACGAAAGCTGATAGTCTCATTTCCCACAAAACTCATATAAGATCTGATACCTAAGCTCTGATACCAACTTGTCACGTCCCAAATTTTATAAAAACGTGATTAAAACAAACACTTTGTTTATTTAAAAAAAACACATGCCGGTATGTTATAAAACATCGAGGAAAATATCTCTTTAGTTGAAAATAAATTATTTTTTAAAAAAAAAATTCAGCAGAGTTTCCTTTGAAAATTGGGCTTTCAACCAGTTAGTAAGAGCATTCATGTGAAAGAATTACATAATTCTAATTAACTAAACATCCACAACATGCCTCCATCCAAAAATATAATCCAACTCATTTCGGGGTGGCAATTAGAGGTCCACAAAGTCCTCCCAAACCCAGATACATCCAACCCCAACACATACCACAACTTAGTACCCAAAGTCATAACTTTACATTACAATATTCAAAATAATAATCCCTCTATAGGATAATCAAGTGTACACCAAAAATGCCTCAAGATAGCTTTTTCAAATACAATGCTTGAGTGATAACATTTCTACATAAGTTCTAAAAATAAATACAAAAAAACTCCAAAAGAGATTCTTTCTAGTCCAAACTTCCACAAGCATTCCATCACTTATGCCTTAGGATGCATACTAGTCTCTGAAAATATTAGTAAGGGATGAGCAACCACGTGCTCAGTAGGATAATCTTTTTTTCAAGGATTTACAAAGTTTTAAAAACAAACATTCCACAAATCATACTAATAGGTAATGAAGCATTATATAATTAAATACAAGTACAAGATAATAAATAAAGCATTTATAAAAATCTTCCAATACCTTAACATTAGAAATATACAAGGTATAAATCAAAGTCAAACCATCATAGTAAATACCATGCATGCCTCGCATACGGACAATATCATTAATCACACCGGTTTAAGCATGAACCATCTCCGGGGAACCTTTTTGGGTCTTGCACCCTAGGATCTCATCGCCCTTCTTGCTTTTCAAGGGGAACGTGTAGGGCACAACTTGTGATGCCACATAGGTCATCACCGAAAATCACTATCATAACCAATCCCCCTTAGGACTAGTAGTCGCCTTGACAACCCACTCAATAGGCTCCAACCATCTACTAACACTCTGTCTGTCAGTATCATGCATACATTTTTTAAAAATTATTATTTACGATATTCATAAATTCTTTTGAAAACACATGTCATAACTTTGACATTTTATCAAATATGTGGTAAGCTTAAATCTCAAAAGTTGCATTTCCAAAGCAACACAACCATTTTCAAGAGAAAATAAGTCACATATATTATGTACAAAATAATAGCATACTTCAAAACCCCCAAGTTATAGGTTTAATCAAATACCCATAACTAAAATCAAACTAGGGCATTTTCATTTTCAAGAGAATAAGTCATATTATGTACAAGATCATAACATACTTTAAAACCCCCAAATCATTAGTTTTATCAAATACTCATAACTAAAATCAAACAAGGGTTTCAAACCCATAACACTAAAATTATTTTCATTTTTAAGAGAATAAGTCATATTGTGTACAAGATCATAATATACTTCAAAATCTCTCAAATCATAAGTTTAATCAAATACCCATAACTAAAATCAAACAAGGGTTTAAAACCCACCACACTAAAATCATTTTTATGCATGTAGGTTCACAAATTCATGGCATATTCAACACTATACTAAAGTTTATAACAAGAATTTTGCCATCAAGCGCATAGCAAGCTTTAACTAAAGAAAATATATGAGATGCAGAATGTCAATGTCAATGCAAGAGAAAGGAAAACCTCACCTAAGAATCAAGAATTCCAAGCCAAATTCCTAAAATTTTCAAGCAAACTCCAAGTTTTATGGACCTTTTTCTTCCCCTTTCTCTTTTCTCTTGTCTTCTCCTAGAGTTTTAAGAGGTTTTGGGTGAGAGATGTGAGAAAAAATGGAAGAAAAGGGGCTGAAATCTTTGTTTTAAACACAGCAGCTCCGAATTCTACTGTTCATGGGCTGAAAAATTAATTTTTTCTCCGAAATTACGATTTTACCATTAAACATTCTAATTTGATACATATGACTATACTAAGGTTTTTCGACGTTCTGAATTTATTTTTAATATTATTTTAACCTAAAAATATTTAGTTTTATGATTTATCTCAAAATTAAAGTTAATTTACACCAAAAACACTAAAATCATTATTTTACCCATTCCGAACTGCTATATGAGCTAAACGTCAATTTCAAGTTTTTCGGACCTCCCAGATTCAATGGAAATATTATTTTGACCCAAAAATATTAATATATTTACTTAGATATCCTTATCAACCTTAAACACCTCTAAAGATTAAATTTGACACAAAAGTCAAGGCGTTCGCACTTCAAGCTTACGCGACTATTCTTTAACAACGATTCGAAGTTTCTCTCATCATTTTAATTATTTTAAAAATACTAGCAAATTAATATCATTTATATTTATATAACACACGAGATCTCATAATACCATATGTTAGAGTTTACCTCCCTCGACATGTTTTTTCCCATAGTCAATTATATGTCGTATTATTACAAGGAACTTCGATGTCAACAACAAAGGTTTTGGTCAAACCAAATAATAAGAAAAGAAGAAAAGGAGCACATATGAAGAATATTGTGTACAAAGAGGTTTTATCCCCGCACAAGTAATGATATCCATGAATTCTTGTTCTTATGTGATTATACAACTTCTTTATACAATTAATAAAAATAGTGTAGTATTTCAATTATGAAGTATTTCACATTCATGATTAATGTTTTATTGATGATGAAACAGCGAGACTCCAGTTCACTCTACAGATTCAGTGGATTAATGTTCGAAACTATAATTACAATTTAAAGCAGCTTAGCCTTTGCATATTCTACCGTCGCCTTTTATTTTTATAGATTTGTTCTACTTTTGGTAAATAGGTTACTTATAGCTTATTGGGCTTGTTTTTTAAAATGAATTTAAAAAATTGTTTAAGTTTGACTTGTTTATAAAATGAGCTGAACTTAGAATAAGCTGAGTCTGATTAGCTCAACTATTTTATATATAAACAAGTAGAGTGAAAAAATTGTTCAAGGTTGTCCCGTTTAAAATATGAGTTGAACTAAATCGACTCTTATATTAGTTGAATTTGAATCGAGCCTAGCCCTAGTTAGAGGCCCAAAAAATTTAATTGGAAAGGAACAAAGTAAAGTTTTTGTTTTGTTTTGCAGTTTTTCATAATTATTAGCTGTTAAAAGGATCCAGATGGCAAGGGTCTGTATCGGGCCAAACGAGCCTATCTGATTGCCAGGCCCACAGAAGACCTTTTGGAAACATACGGCCCACGACTTGTCTATCGGGTCGGTTTAGTGGGCATGTATCAGGCAATCCATCGGGACGATTCTAATGAGCTTTTCTTTTTCATGTTTTTCTAATTTTGATGGGTTGAGCAATGGGCTTTTTTGGTGAGCCGCCTTTTGTAGGCCTTAATCAGCCCAATCAGTTGGACCCAGAGGCAAAAGGCATAGCCCTATCCACTGGTCTGTTCACTTGGGCTTTTGGACCAACTCTTGGGCCTCAATTTTTTGTAAACATTGAGTGATAACCATTTGTCGAAATTACATCTGTGCACAAGCGCTTGAACCATCCTATCAACATTCATTTCACATAACCACTTTGTTGCACTGGGAAACTCACTTATGCCCAAATCCATTGACAATAATCAACACACACACCATAGTCATATCTAAAAACATAGCAATTAAACACAAGATCAAGAAGTATTGAGACGCGAATGATTAAGAATAATTACACAACTATATCGAAGTAGGCGAGGAAATCCACACAAGATGGTCTGCTGGAAAGAAATGGCACACCCCAGGAGTCCCTGCTTCAATTCCGAGCACACAGAAAGACACATGATTCCGGCTCCATTGAGAGGTGTCAGTGTGACAAACAACAAAAGCTTCCACCTTATCTCCATTCCTCCCACCTAATAAAATCTTAAACACCTTGTTCTTACTTGCTTGGGTGTGACAGTAAAAAACTGCATAAGGGTAAGGCATAGTATGACATGCCACCATTTTGTAAGCTGATATTTCTTCGGGATTTTCCAATATGGTATAGTTCTGAAAAAGGGTGTTAGATTTGGTGAGATGAGTGGTGGATAGAAATTTGATTTGGCTCTTGATCCCAAAAACGCTTCTTGTAAAATCAGTCATGGATTCATAAGAGGTGGCACAGAACTTGGTCTCTCCTTTGATGGGGTCAGCCTCACATTCTCTAAGTGTATTTTCCATGATCTCTATGTGTCCCTCCATGAGCATCATTGTCTTGTTTATCAGAAATTGAAACAGGGTCATCTATAGCATGCTGCAAAACATTTGCCTTATCATGGACATCGTTTTCATTGTTGATATGAGCATCCATGCTATGAAGCCTCAATACATTATTGCCTCCAGGGATATCTTCAACTGCAGAATCATTAGAAGTATTAATCTCATTACGTTGATGATTGTCATCGTCGTGGTCATTCTTGGGGTTTCCTAACATGATATGCCCTTTGGTGTCATGCAGCTTCACATGTTTGTTCTTTTGTGTCTGCTTTGTTAAATCTTTCCAATGTTCTTGATCAGCTCCATGAACACACTGCAAAAAAAATAAAAAAATTAGTAGCATAAAGAGTTCCAAATCTATAATCATGGTTTAGCAGATAAGCTTTTCTTAGATTTAATAAAAAAAGAATCAAATTTGTCATACTTTTCAAGAATTTCAATGGAAAACTGATACTAATTGGAGTAATTCAGGCTAAATACAATGAAAAAATATTAGAAATGGTTCGCGTTGACACTGAAATCTGCGTAAATTCTAAGATCTCCGACAATATGTCCTCCATGATGTTCAAAAACCAAAAGCTACACTTTAAATCAACCACTTTGATCATATATTAACTTGAGAGAAACGTTAAACGACTATGGTTACTGCTAATGCAACAACAGTTGTCATCTTCGCCATCATGAGCGTCCGGGTAGAGTACCAAAAGATGATCATTTAATGAAGGACATGAGTAGAGGGATTACCAGTAAAACCAGTAGAAGAAGGAAGAGACTCCGAGTAGCAAGTTTAAGGCCCATCTTTCCTCTTTTGCTTGGAATTACTTTCTAAGTCTTTCTGAGAACTGGGCAAAACTCACCTTACTTCAGTAAGGATAATCATGAACAAGTTTCTCTATTATTGTGGGATATTCAATATTAAGTCATCAAGCCAAAGACTGGACCTCTTTGAGTGAAGTAAAGGCCCTTTTTGTAGGAAAAAGCACAACCAAGCATTCAATCTACTGTTTGAATAAGCTATTCTATTAAATGTTAAGTACTGTTGAACAACTTGAAAATTTTTTGTGTTTTTTTGTTCCTTTTAACAGCAAAATTTATTAAATGGGAAAAACTACGGTACTGGAGTACCGAAATTTACAACTAAATAAGGGTTTGTACAACTCAATTTACAATAAGTTATGGCTCAAAAAGATTAATTATGATTTATGACCTGATGAGGGCAAAGCTATATCTTAAAAAAAGTTGGAGCCGATCTGTGACACCCCAAAATTCGGGTGTCAGTAATTACCCGATTGATCACCTATCAACCTGCGGAATACCCGTAGATACCATGTAATTCGTTATCACGCCGTTATGTCCTATTTATCGAGATCCATAACTTAATGAAATTTTGACAGAGTCTTTTTTGTACGGAGAATTCTACCCAAAACGTAACCTGTGCAATCATATAACATTGATTACACCGGGTTTATTCATCTCTACTCTTTAGCATAGTGTCAAATACTACTATAATTATTATCATTACGTACATTCATTCATAAAAGAATAAATTTCTCAAAAGAGTCTTTATACATGTCTTTTAAATATAAACAAGTTTTTTTTATAAAAATTACACAAGACCAAAAGTAAATATAAACAAGGGACTATGATGTCAAAAGAAGAGGCACAGACCGGCTCTGTCGTCAAAGCGGGCCAATGGTCTCGCCTTCGGTGGACGCCTGTGCAATACCTGAAAAGTATTCCCATAAAGGGTGAATCAACGCTCAATAGGGTAACTCTTATAGAGAATATCTCTCAACCTAAATGCATATGAAATGTCACATACAACAATCATTTCATGCAATCATTCAAATATGTCTATTATGAACAAATGTCATAAATCATGTCATGTCATGAGATGAGACTCACGAACACAATAACAACACCGAGCCCCATCCTGAGCTCTTACAACACATGCAATGTCATGTGTATGTATTCGGGAATTCCAAGCCCCGTTATTACTGTTATGTACACTCAATGACTAATTAATTTATTTTCCTATGTCTTTGTGGGGAGATAATTTATGGTATTACATCAATGGGACACCAACCATCAACGAATTCTCAGGACATCCCACTTGCGGTTCCGTTTTGATCGTTACACTTTTCTGGAATTTCACCGCCGAAAAGTGTATAAACCAAGTAAGCGGGTCTTGTATTCGAGGGAGAATCTACCCCTTTTTGCTATCCCTGACACATATATCCATTCAATTTTTCGTGTGACTCAGCCGGACCTTAGTGCGACTTTTCTGAGCCCACAATCAACCACCTATGTGGTGATTGATTTCATCCCATGCACGCACTCCCACCCATATCAATGCCCATGAATATAATGTAATCTATGCATAATGAAATTTCAATGTACAATTACCTTTGGTACCATTTACAATATCCATTACATAAAGAATACAATATAATGACATTTTCGACATGACAACATGTTTATCAATTCTATAAACATAAGCACAAGTCCACCACAATAATTATATGCTAAAAAATCATTTAACATACATATTATTCCATAATCACATAACAAGCTAATAATTTTATTAAACTTTATATGTCATTTAAAACATAAAACAATGGTAATGTACAATTAACATGCTTTAAACTACTAACATTAACTTACACCAAGTTAATCATAATAGGATTTTCTAATTACAAAGTTAATTAAAAATCATATATTTGACACACTAGTTACACTAGTCAAGATCTAACATGTGATATATACTCATAGCCTACCCATTTCATTTGTCATATTTTAGGTTTAAAGTAAATCTAAATAGGAAAAATTCTACTTCTCGTAGCGTGAGCCCACGTACTGAAACTCCGAGGAAGTCTAATGTAACTTCCCAAACTTTAAACCTAAATTATCGTCTTTGATATTCTTTTGGAGAAAAATATGATATTTGATGTGGTTGCGTAGCTCTCGCTGAATAGAGAAAAAAAAATCTTTTCTCTCTCTCACTCACTCAGCAACCTGTTGGAGGAAGAAAATTTTTTACGTTTTTGACCCTTATATTACAATTAATTATTATTTTATCCCTTTAATTAAGATTTTTACTAATAATAATAATAAATTTTTTTTTCGGGTTTTGCACGATCCTAAAAGAATTAGGGTCAATCCTATATGTTAGCACCGTTAGAATCAACCCTAAACAACCTCATTTTTTTTTCAGCCTCAACAGATTGAATCGTAATCTACATTTTATACAATAGTAACTTTTGGTACGACACAAAAGAAGAATAACTCTCACCCTGCTGGAACAATGTACCTCTTGTATCTAAAACTTAGTGAAATTCCTCAATCATGATCTGGATTTGACCCTTGTTATAAACGGAACTTAATGATTCAAGTAAAAACTATCATATCTCTTAAAAAAAGTGGTATAGGAACATTTGGAGGTTGAAGATTAATTGTCAGTAGATTTGGTAATTGAATCTCAGGAGCCCACACACTTATCATGATCTTAACATCTAGCCATATGCTAATGTTTTTCACCAACAAGAAAAAGATTCCAAATCAAATCAAAAAAAAGGAAAAAGAAATTCCACACTAGAGAATACCGATGTGAATATGATTACGAGCTGCAAAATAAGGAAATAGGAGAGGTTTCTACTGTCAAGAGTGTCCATTGATGGCTTCCGATGCTTAAGTCAATAGATTTAAGCGTGTTCATTGAAATATAATGCAAAGGCCAATACTTCAATCCTATTTGGTTTCCAAAATAAGCATTAAGATTGCTAATAATTAAAGTTTGACAGATATGACGAGAAAGAGAGAATGATACTTGGTGCCTTCTTTTGATTCCAAGTAGGTCACCAGATTAGTATGCTGCCATTTTTTCACGTCCAGAAAGATCATAATATCAAGGATATGATATAATGAGCAAAAAGACAAAGACATACCATGTGATTCATATACTAGCAAACTAGATAATTATTGAAGTTTTGTACCCCATCAAATGTTGATATTTTTGTTTTTTTCTTTATACTCATTGAGTATATTGTTTAATCGGATTTTTTTTTCATGAGAGTGCCAATGTTGAAGATAAGAAGATGGTCGCATCATATAGACCCAAATAAAATTGTAGTGGGTGTCTTGTATTCCATTTCAATTCGTATTTGTTCTGACATGAAATCTATTGAATTATAATTGAATTTTTTTTGGATCGATATTTGTAACTTGATCTGAGATAAACTGATGATTATTTGGAAATTTGATTTCTGTATGACTTGAAAACCTGAGTTTTCGAAAGCAAAGATATTAGGGTGCTACAAATATTGATAGAAAAAAAAACAAATATTGATAGACATTGACGGGTTCTATTGTAGTGAAGGTTGTTGTAAGAAGATCCTTGTGCTAGTAAAGATTGCTTCAAATGGTCAAGAAATAAGAAAAACAAATCATTAATAGACATAAGATTTTAAGTGAAATCACGTACAATTAAAAATTTTCTTATTTACTCATAGCAAAAGTCATGAAATAAAATAAACTTTCAATGAATAGTGTCTTCCAACGAAGGAGGGACCCTTCAATTCTTCGTTATCAATCACTCTATTCTAGAGATGGAGCTCCATCACCCATTACCAATAATATTGTTTTATTTAATAGCCGACATGAATCATATACTAATACTAGTCATTACCCGTGTCTAAAGGCCCTATAAAAAAAATAAAAAAATCTTAAATAAGCGTTCAAATTCAAAAGAAATAATCTAAAAATATTCATACAAATTCTTTTTTCAAATGGCTCATACTGTTTGGACCAAAAAATCTGACCTAATTTGTTGATATAATAATGTGGCTTCATAAGAATCATTGGATCAACACCAAATTTATGTCAGTAAATTGAGTCTCAATAGCATTGCTCATTATATAGAAGATACTATTTAACAGTTTATCTATATATAACAAATGGTTTTTGAGATTCCATGCAATCACAAAGAGTAAAAAATTTCTTATAGTATTGAAGACATGGAATCATCTTCTGCTTTCTTCACTCTCCTTTTGCTTCTTCTGGTAAGCAAAACCAACTCAGAATCCCTTTTTAATCTATCTTTTCAAGGTGAAGAATCCTTATAAGCTTTATATATGTGATAATATACATCATGGTAATGTTTTTATTTAATGTTGTTGAGCAGTTTGCAACCATTACAGCTGCAAGACCAAATCCTGGAGAAAATTGGCAAGGTACCATGAAAGATAAGCTCATGCCTGAAGCAATTGTCGTCGAGGGTTCAAAGTCGTCTCTCTCAAACAAAGAAACGGACTGTCACACATCGACAGATGTAAGAACCAACGATCATTATGTTAGGAACGTCAAGGATATAAAAAATGAAAATGGCTTTGCTGAGGACATTGAACCAAGGCCAAATCTCTCTGGATACCATGATGATGCTAAAGAGAATGGCATTGCTGAGGACATTGAACCAAGGCCAAATTTCTCTGGATACCATGATGATGCTAAAGAGAATGGCATTGCTGAGGACTTTGAACCAAGGCCTAATCTCTCAGTTTATCATGATGATGCTGGTTTACAAGCGAATATACCATTTATCAAAGATTTCGAACCAAGGGACAGTGCTTCTGCTTATAAGGATTAAGATCAAATTCAAGTCTAATGCATTAATATGTATAATTTGAAGCTTTGTAAGAAGTATCTGGTCCATGTTTGTGTAATAGGTGGTATTAAATGTTTGTGATAATATGTACTTAAATAACGAGTGTGCGAAAATAAAAATTTGCGAATTTTTCTTGTTT